ATATTATGTTCATCAAGTGACCAACGTAACCAATAATCATTTGCGACTCATTCATTCATACCGATTCAGGTTTTCATGTGTATAGAGGTGGGCATAGATATTTCACATTTTTCTAATCATGCTTAGGTGATGCTCCGAAAAAGATTTGAAGTCGAGAGACACCCTCAAACGCACTGGATTTGTGCATCACCTGTCATTAGCTGTCAGCTATTCACGGAAATAAAACTAACAAACAGAGCTTTCGGAGAGCCGAAAAGAATTGTGATACCGAAGCGACGGAGGGGAAAGGGGCGGCAGACAATCAGTAGCAGCACCGCCACCTTTAAGCGGCTCCAAGACACAAAACACCTCAGCAAATGCTGTGCCACATGTGGAGACTCTTCACACTCAAACCCTTTACAATTGTAATTGCAATTCTGTGTTCATACAGTTAGTCAAACAATGCCGAAAATGAGACCATTCAAAGTGTTCTTCGTTCCCTTTGATGGAAAGCAACAAATGGTTGTTGAATAATGTTAAGATCATCAACAAAAGAATCCATGTTATTGTGAGTGAGCCAGAAAAGTAGTGAAATCGATTCAATAATGGTAAGTAGTTGGTGGCCGGGAGTACCACATAGCTGGCAAATGCTTGTGTATTCCATGCCTCCCCACAGCCCCCCAACTCCTCGGCTCACAGATGCACAGTCGAAGGTTGTAGGCTATTACATATCTAAGCTACTGGATTGCAGACGGTTCGTGGTGATGCCCGAGGAAGCGGACAATTCTCGGTTCACAATTGATCTTCCAGCAGTATACGGCTATGAATAGAAGGCATCAGAGCCTGCAACTAAATGAGGCTATTGGTGCAACCCCGTGATTGTGCAGGATCTAAAGGCGAATCTTCGTAGAAGAAACACTCGCTCATATTCTAAAAATACAGATCGCCTAAAAGGCGAAAGTAGATGAATGCCGGGCAAAGCATCTGTGCGACTCTAAAGTATGACGATGAACAGTTAGAAAATAAAATCCGCTGAGTAATCGAATGGTTTACCATGATTCTCTCATGGGCAGAATCCTATCAAGTGGATCTTTTTAAAGATTCACAACTGGGGCCCTCGAATGGCCAGAGCCTGAGCCACAAGACGACGGGGTGGTGCTTGAAATCCACCATCCATTAGGGTTTGGTATCAGGGATCTAGACCTCTGTTAGAAAAATATCACTCCGGGATTTGTTTGTCACACAGTCTGGACTCAGACACGTGTAAAACAGAATATAATAGTAATCGAATGGCGAGAAACCAACGATAACAACTACTGCTACAGTACCCAAGTGCCTAAAGAAAGAAATGAAAACTGATTTCACGTTGAACAGTGTTCAGGGCAGCGAATTTCACACAATTATTAGTTACGCACAATGATACGTTAGGTTTCACAGATATCTTTTTAATTGGCAGACCATATGGGGACTAAGACAACGGCATTGGCAAAATGTGATTTGGGCATAGAAGAAATAAGCGAACCAAACGGAACACACGATGTGGGTAAATAATTGCACAACACTTGGAGAAATCGTGTTTACTGCTTCAAATAGCCCATATAAGTGCACCTTAAGACTTTCGAAAGGAAACACAAGTAGTACCGAAACAAAGAATTTGAAGTGTGTCACGGAATGATAACGATTAGGGTGACTTAAACATCGTAGAAGCTAATGTTGTAAATTTACACAATTTCATACATACCTTCACAAATTTAAAGACAACGTGAAAAATAAAAAGAATTCATTAAGAAAAAATGAATTGACGGTACGCTAAATCAGTGGTTTATGGGTAAACTAGCACTCCAGGTTAGATAGGGTCATGGACAAAGGAATACATCAAAGAGATTAGAGTATTATCGGGTCCACTCTACAAAAAATTGAACTTTGTGACTAATCTTATTCTACTACACGGTAGGGCTGAGAATCTTGTCACCTATCGTGGTTATTCATGGAGCCTTTTGATCCCTCTCTACCATGCTCTGTGTTGTAATCAATGACCAAATGTGTGAACGTTAGTCCGATACTCTGTCACTCATGTTTGTTGTTGTTGTTGTTTAATCTCGATATACCAGGCGAGCGAAAGCAGCTGATCGAGAGTAGTCGAGAAAATAACTGAAACCATGTTATCCTGATGAAATGTGGTTTTTAATCATTGTGTTGAAATTCAAGAGCCAAAAAGATGATAAAAATCGGAAACTCCAGTGCTGAGTGCAAAACACGATCCTCTACCGCCCACCCCCTTCCAAAAGTTATACGATTTACTGTTTCAAATTTTGACAAAAAAATAGTATCACGGAAAACCGACGTGGCTACACACTCTATCAATCTATCTATGGCGAGAAAGAGAATAGAGTAATAGAGTAAAAAACAGGATAATTGGGTCAGATATTGAAGTAAGTGCACGGTGGTTCAAATGGAGTAAGATGTTTTCATAGATTTGTGAACCCCATATGCGTACCTCAAGAGGGTTTATTCAGCACTGACACGTTGAGAACAACAAACAGCATGATCGAGTGTTACAGAGTATACCGGAGACGAGTATCACATGATAGTTTAATGGTATAAAAGTTCAGAAGAGGACTGTCTATGGACGTAGAAAACTGAGCTCAAAGATTATCTGATGAGTCAAGATTACTGGCAATTTACACCGATGAACAGCGTGCTATGTATTTCTATCATCGACCGTGTCGGTCGGTACCTTACGGTGGTGGTGAGGTTAGAACGACAGCGAGATAACCTAAAGAGGGAATGCGAGGACGAGCAAAAACATGAGGAACACGAACCACATTATAGAATGTAATGCGATGAACAGGATAGTGGGTTGTTGAGATAAGTAAGGAAGGGGTAGCACAAGAGCAGTTGCGTACCTTATTGGTTTCGAAAGGATTCAAAAGAAATCGAGTTCAACACGTTTGCGTTTTTTCTCGGTATACGACTTTCCTGCGGACTCCTTCGCCGGCGCGTGTCGCGGACAGCCCGATCGATCTGAGCAGGTGATGAAACAGTTCACGGAGGAAGATAGTGAGTGGGGGAGTGTGTGTGTGTGTGTGTAAGCGCGCATATGCACATGCGAAGAACTGTGCGACTGAACTATGGAGCTAACTGTTCACCGTGCAATCAGACTAACGAAGAAAGTTTTAAGTTTCCAATTGATACAATTTAATTTTGTGGATCTATACGGGCGAAGGCTTGTTACACACAAAGGGTGGGATGAAAAGTATTTAATCGTTCGTTCAAAAGATGTCTGGTTTATATTTTACCTCAATTATTTGAACTCAGAACGCTGTGCACACTAGGCGTGTAAAAACCTACTTACAGCCAAACTGACAAGAATCTCCACGTAAGCTTCAATGGCAGTAACTCAGTTCTTGAAATTCGACAAGAACAAGTGACAGCTAATTATCTCTTAACTGGCGTTTGAGGGCGGATATCTAATGAGGCCTTTGATGTGTGTTCAGTTTACACATCGCCCGATTGA